CACTGAATCAAAGTCAGCGGCAAGAGTGGGTCAGTTTACTTTGCAGGATCTGTCACTTGGTGCCAGGTCTGAAGGCGCGGAGATACTTGCTGAAAGGCAGCGTGCTGCGTGGTCTTGATTCTGTCCACGCATGAGTCGAGAACGTCGCAAAGCGTGTGCATTGTGATGGCGGGCTCCAACGTCCTGGCAGTTGAGCGCGAGGAAGCCGCAGCACGAGGCGGAGATAGGTTCTTCCAAGTGGCGGTACCAGCTTATATTCCAGTCATCGGAGCAGCAGCCGCCTGTGCTTGTAGCGTTTGCGCAAAGCGCAAGACATTTGCCCAGCATGGCCCATGAAGACATTCCCTTGGATGATTCACCAGGCCTTGAACTGCGCATGCGCTGCGGGGAGTTCGGAGTGAAATTGCCCACTTCTCCTGAACACTGGCAGTGTCTGTTGATCGCCTTGCCCAGTCGTTCATGCAGGCTCGTGGTCCCTTGCAGGTCCTACATAAGTCGGAAATGTTTGGGATTTGTTCAGGTCAAAGTATTCCCCTGCCGAGAGTGCAGAACGCCCTCGTCTCAGCACTCTGTAGATTTTCTGTAGATTCTTGGGCTGGCGGGGTGGGGGTCCGGCTGGTGGGTTTCATTGGCGTGATCTGAGACTCGTCAATGAATATGTTCAGGCAGATAGCCGGGTCAAGGGCAGGGCTTGTTTCAATTGTCGAAAGGTTGTCGGGTGTTGTTGACAATCTTCGGTTTGTGAGTCCCTGTCATGGATGGTACTGGCATCACTCGCCAGGTCATGACGGATTTGGCGTGTGACCAAGTCTGCGTTGTCGGTGAAACTACTGACGTTCAGGCGTGCGTGTGAGATATGAGATTGACAGGAGGCGCGCGCGTGGCGTGCGTCAGACAGCTGACAACATCTGTCTCAAGAGCTTTGCCTTATGCTGAGTGTGGAAAAATGCAGAATAGGCGTCAATGCCTGTCAGATTTTGCGTGCGAGTGCATGTGCGCGTAGCGCGGTCCCTGCTTTCACAAAACTGTGGCAGGAGCCGTTGCCTGATGGGCTTTTGTCTGAGGCTTCCGGCCATGTGTAGATATTGCGCTTGCCTGTCTCAATGTTCCATGGCTGTCTTTGGTTGCAGGCAGAGCTGTGCACGCGTGTGATCCAGATTGATTCTGCTGTGAGCAGTGACGTCAGCAGGGTTCCCAAGTTGACCAGGCTGTGGTGATCAGGTTTTCCGCGCAGTTCTGAAGCTAGCTAAGGTGCAAGCATTGATGTCCATGGTGTCTTGTGTGAGCCCATCCAGTGTGGCAAAGGGGCGTCTAATCATGTTTGTGCCCGTGGGAGCACGTGTGATGGAGTGACTCCTACTTCGCGAAGTGCTCGCGTCAGGTTGTTGCTCATTATTCACAGGAATGTTTGCCTGGGCAGTCCAAGCCTTATTTACAGACGGCGCCGTGAATGTACAGATGCAGTGAAGACATTACTCACAGGCTTCGCACGTTGCAAAGGTTTGGCAACGTCCGTGAGCTCTTTGAGCTGTCGTGAGTCGCCTTGAGAAACCACAAGCACTATATGCAGCTGTTCATATCTTCGGATGGAGAGTGCTTTGTGTTTCCAGTGCTATCAGGATTTTAGGTGGGCTTCCAAGTAAGCAGCCGTGACGGAGCGACTGAGCGAGCCACGTCGGAGCGTTAAAACACAGCAGTGCATGCCCGTGCTTCTTTTTGACCGCCGTGCTCATCATTCGCTTGAGCTTGAGTTTGCCACTGCGTTGCCTCTGCAGAGCATGTGTAACGCCCTTGATTGCAGCTCAACTAAATTTCCCGAGTCAACATCTTTGGATTTTCAGGGCCATGGGCATCTTTGCGCTGACGCCTGAGACGTTTGAGATCAGGCTGATGAGCGTGCGCGTTCCGCGCATTGTTCTCCGTGCAAGGGGAAGCCGTCCTGAATAATGTCCGCGCGAGCGCCGGATTCCTAGCACACTTGCGCTGCAGTTGACTTGCACGCGGTGGCCGCAACTGGTCAGGTGGGCTTGAGAAGAACCCGGTCGTAGGGTTTTTAGTACTGGCGGAACCGAAGTGTAGGAGAGGCGTAGGAAATCTTGTAAAACGATAAGGCGCCAAACAAGCGATACCGTTTTAGCGTGTGATGTTCTGGTTCTTATTGTGCAAGTAAAATTCCCGCTGGCTCATGCCTCGATACCAGTACTATAGCCCAACGACAACCCGGCCGGATCATGAAAACCTCGATTCCAGTACAAAGCCACTACTCAAAATCAACGACAATCCGGCCGGATCATGAAAACCTCGATTCCAGTATTAAGCCAGTGCTGAAAATCGCTAACAGAAACACACACACACACACACACACACACACACACACACACACACACACACACACACACACACACACACACACACACACACACACACACACACACGCACACCCACACGCACACACGCACACCCACGCACCCACGCACCCACGCACCCACGCACCCACGCACCCACGCACCCACGCACCCACGCACCCACGCACCCACGCACGCACGCACGCACGCACGCACCCACGCACGCACGCACGCACGCACGCACGGCACGCACGCAGCACGCACGCACGCACGCACGCACCACCAGCACGCAACACGCCCCACGCACCCACGCACCCACGCACCCACGCGCACCCACGCACCCACGCACCCACGCACCCACGCACCACGCACGCACGCACGCACGCACGCACACGCCGCACGCACGCACGCACGCCCGCACGCCGCACGCGCGCACGCGCGCCCGCGCGCCCGCGCCGCGCACGCGCACGCGCACGCGTACACACACCACACACACACACACACACACACACACACACACACACACACACACACACACACACACACACACACACACACACACACACACACACACACACAGCGCGCACGCGCGTGCGCGCACACGCACACCCACACGCACACCCACACGCACGCGCACACGCACACGGACACGCACACGCACACGCACACGCACACGCACACGCACACGCACACGCACACGCACACGCACACGCACACGCACACGCACACGCACACGCACACGCACACGCACACGCACACGCACACGCACACGCACACGCACACGCACCCGCACCCGCACCCGCACCCGCACCCGCACCCGCACCCGCACCCGCACCCGCACCCGCACCCGCACCCGCACCCGCACCCGCACACGCACCCACACGCACACGCACACGCACACGCACACGCACACGCACACGCACACGCACACGCACACGCACACGCACACGCACACCCACACACACACACACACACACGCACACAATGCTCCCCACGCAAAACCTCCACAGCTACAAAACTTCAACCTACGAAGAACGCGCGTCACGTATTCGGTAATGCACGATGCTCCAGTGATTTCGAACGTGCAGTACGGTGACGGGGGCTCAGCACAGTTCACACCGTGGCCCCAACGGACTAGGATAAGCCGGAATCTTCGCCTACTTTATCCAAGCCTACCAATCTGTACAAAGGCCAAGATGAGCCTTCATGAAGGATTTTGTTTTGACCATGCCCGTGATTACCCTGGTGCCTCAACGCGCATTCAAAAACTGAAAGCTCAAAGTTGAACCTTCTGCTGCGCGAGATCGCTGCCACACCCCTTTCTTAACGAGCGCTGGGCGCAGGACGGCCATGTTTCGTCAGAGCCAGGCCGAAGCTTCTGCAAGAAGCCAGCGTCCGTCTCCGCATGGAGCGCCGCCACCTAGAAGTGAGAGTGGCACATAGGCAAGGCCCATAAGAGTAGGGTGTTAAACCCGAAGCTCAGAAGAGCAGGAGAACCAGCCAAGCGGATTTAAGATGGACATAGTTTTTACGTCTGCCTCGCTGACGGGGGGGGGGCCTGCTTGCCGCACGCACGTGAAGAAGATCTTGCACCTTCCGCAAAGCTTCTGGGCAGGCTTTGGGTCACCTCAAACTCCCCTCAAGGCTTCTGAGTTCTTTCGACAAACCAAGGCTCCTGAATGAGCTCCAGCAAGGCCTGCAAACGTGCAGACTAAGGCAGCAGCTGAGTCACATCTATATGGGGGTTTACGAAAATAGGCAAATAGTCGCACCTTTTTTGGGGGTTCTTATTACGGATTATACTGCTTGGGGCCTATTGGAGAAATGCCCATAAAATGAGCCGGGGGGCTGTGTCAAAGCGTCCACCGAGGGGAGGAGGGAGGGGAGGGAGGGGAGGGAGGGAGGGAGAGGGGAGGGGAGGGGAGGGAGGGGAGTGGAGGGAGGGGCGGGGAGGAGGGAGGGAGGGAGGGAGGGGAGGGAGGGAGGGGAGGGAGGGGAGGGAGGGGGAGGGGAGGGGAGGGAGGGAGGGGAGGGAGGGGAGGGAGGGGAGGGAGGGAGGGAGGGAGGGAGGGAGGGAGGGGAGGGAGGGGACTCCCGCCATGCCAGTCACGTGAAGCTGGGCCACGCATGAGGTATTGTTTACTTGAATCGAGGTAACTTGTTGCAGCTTTTGCTTTTCGATCTTGTCGATTTGCAGTTTTCGTTGCCTTCGTACCCGCCTGCGTTCAGCAGTAGCAGTGCTGCATGTTTCTACACTCTAAGGGTAGTTTCATGGGTGTAAGGGCCCTTAGGTGTGTACAGGGTATGTAAGGGGTATATAAGGGGTGCCCCCTTTAAGGGCCCACACTAAGGCATCATGCAACTACCCTACGATGCACTGTGCTCTCCAGGCTTTATGATGGAGCGATGGCTGGTTTGCTGCCGGGCTGCCATGGCAGCAACGTTCCCTTCGCTCAAAGACGGCCTGCAGTGTATCGCAAGAAGTTCTGAACATTTGCTGCTTGGAATGCTCTTTTGGCTCGTAGCTTGAAAGAATTTCGAATGAGACTACATGACTCCACTCTAAGTTATCTTTGAGGGTCAAAGTGGGGGCGGGGTCAGGTGCCTCTAAGTGCTTTGACATGCAGCAGGTGGGGGGGGTCCGGGCACGCGAAGATGTGTTCGAAGCGATGTTGCGGTGGCTGCTGTGCTGTGCTTGTGGTCCTGGTGGCTGCCCTTGTGATGAAGTTCCAGGAAATGAAGCCCAGGATCCTGGAGTACCATTGCGCCGCCTACCTCCCCGAATGCCCCCTCTTTCAGCGGAGCTGGCTTGACGGAGTGCTCGTCTTGCAAATTACAGCCGCAGACAGCTTCCGCAAGGACCACGCGGATGCTGGGTGGTCCAAGGCCGTGGAGGCGCTGCAGCAGAAGTCTGCCAGAAGCCGCCGGCAACCTAGAATGTTGGTGCTTGGACCTAACACGCTCTTCGAGGATGCTGCTGAGTTTCGACAGCTGGCGAAGATGTCGACGAAACTTGTGCTAGTTGAGGCGAACGAGCGGCTCAATGGCAACTTGACTGGCAATCTTTTGAGATATGGCCACGCGCGAGAGAATTTCGACATCATGAACGCTGCCATGACCGACGAGCCGGCAGGCAACTTGACCTTTTACGTGGTGGACGACGGAAAGCAAACCGAGTCGAGCTTGGTAAATTACTTTGGCTCCGGTGTGGAAGTGTCCGTCCGATCCTTGACGCCCGGAAGTCTCTTGGAGGAGCTTGGCCTGGACAACGTAGACATTCTCCACACGGATCTTGAGGGTTACGACCTCCGGATCCTCTCGAAGTTCTTTGCCCTGGAGTCCTTCGCGCCCGAGATCCTGAAGTTCGAGTGGCTTTTCGCCGCGCAGCAGAAGGGACCGGGCCCGTTTGACATGATGCCGATGCTGAACATGCTGTCATCTCGAGGGTATGACCTTCATCAAGATGCTTACGACATGATTGCCGTCCGGCGGAGCTTACTTGAGGAGGCTTAGCCACGAGAGGAATGCGCACGCGACAAAAACGAATGCCTCAGCTCGCCAGAGCTGACAAGAAGTCCGCAAAGTTTCCAAGGGATGTCACATGTATTCACTTTTGTGAGAGTGGAAGGTCCTGTGGTGGCAGAATGTGGCAGCATGGTGCATCTTTTTGGCAAGGATGTGTCTTTGTGTCCATGTGTTGGGCCCAACACTGCTCTGGAATCTCCCGCAGCTCCACGTTTTGTTTCGCTTTCAGGCTCTCAGTAGAGATACAGCGTGGTTACATAGGAGTCGCGATGGAGTGCCCTGCGCCGCCCCTTGTGCTGAGATGGGCAGCTGGAGCTTCCTAAGCCATCTCCGGGCCTAAGATGGCTAAGGCAGCTCAGGGTTTCCATTAAAGGCTTCTCTTGCAAGGCTTGTGCCTTTTCGCAGAAATGATGGGGTATCAAGCCTTGACACTGTAGTACGTTCGCAGTCCATGTCAGTCGTATGACCTCCAGTTTGTGTGATGTTTTTCTTGTCTCCAGGGAGCTTGCTCGGTGAGCTGCTCGTTGAGTTGCCTTGGGTGTTCGGAGGACGCCCTCCTGGGTTGAGGAGCTTGCGACGTGGCTCCGGTCCTCTGCTACTCTCTCAGCTTCCGGAACATGCTTCCTAAACATTCCTAAGCTGCTGTTGCAGGAAGCGCGCCTTCACGCAAGTGGACATCTGTATACGACTGTTCGCTTCACTGTGCCGCTTCTGAGTCATAAACATTCTCGGCTTGCGATTGAAACCCACCATCCTTGTTGGATTCGATGTCGATTGTGTCATGACTTTGCACACACTCTGTCTCGCTCGCTCTCGCTCTCTCTCTCTCTCTCTCTCTCTCGCTCTCGCGCTGTTATCTCGGAAATGATAGCCAAGACTCGAAAGCACGTTTAAAGTTTTCAATGAAAGTCAACCCTCGCTGCATCTCCAGGTGGGATCAAGACCACCGCGACCGCCGTAGCGCCGCTGTGGTGCTCCCATCTCTGTCTCCGTGTGCCCGGTGCCTCTGTGTGTGGGACCGTGACACGTACATGGCTGCTTATGCAGGTTCGAGGATCGTGCGCACGGTCCATTTATGTTCATTTGCACGTGTTCCCTGCAGCGCATCGGCTCTCAAATCGTCTAGGCCAAGGCATTTGCGGGCCCGCCGCCCGTGCTCAACCGGACGGATGAAGCTCTTTGCACTCGCGGCATTGGCAGCACATGCAGGGGCACAGACTCTTGAAGTCCACGGCAGCGGCACCACGAATCCCTCGAAGTTCTTCTGGGACATCATGGACGGCTTTCGTGCGATGACCCGCAGGGACATCCGGCTCACCTACCGTGCTGTGGGAAGCAGCACTGGGCAGAGGGAGTTCACGCAGCAGTCGAGCGGGGACTACAGCTCCGGCCTCACGGACTTCGGCTCTGGGGACATCCCAGTGACGCAGGACCGCTACAACGGGTTGGTTGCAGCATCAAGGGGTATGGTTCACGTTCCCTTCGCTATGGGAGCCATCGGGGTCTTCCATTCCGTGCCAGAAGGTGAGGTTGGCAGCACGGGCTTGAAGCTGGCACCCTGTGTGCTGGCCAAGATCTTCGGCGGCCAGATCACGGAGTGGAAGGACCCGGAGATTCTGGTGGACAATCCTGGCCTTTCGGCAGTCCCGGATGGGACCAAGATCCAGGTCGGACATCGCACCCTGGGTTCCAGCAGCACCTCAGGTCTCTCAGGATATTTGGTGGCAGCCACTGCCTCCGAGGGCTGCACCGCTGCGTGGACGCTGAGCGCCGGCTCCACCCTCGCCTGGCCCACAGCCAGCAACTTCCACGCCGTGCAGGGATCCGGCGGGATGACGGATCACATCGCCTCGACGAAGTATGCCATCGGCTACGTGGATGCAGGCCACGGCCACCAGCGGGGCTTCTCGGAGGTGCACCTCAAGAACGTGGCAGGCACCTGGCTCACGTCCAAGATGGCCATGGACGTTGGTGCCACCCCCGCTGACAACGGCATCGCGGCTGCAGGTGCGGCGGCGGTGACTGCCGGCGTCATCCCAGGAGATGCGGCCGCGGATTGGAGCGCCGTGAACCTCTACAACCAAGGCGGCGCAAACACGTGGCCCATCGTCCTCGTCTCCTACCTCTACATTTCTACGGACTTGAGCGGCTGGACGGTCGACAAGGCATCCTTGCTGAAAGCGTTCGTCGACTACGTTACTGGCACGACAATGGGTCAGGCGAAGCTCGCGGAGTATTCTTTCAATCCCGTCCCGGCCACGATGAACACCTGGTCCACGGTCTGGTCCACCAAGATCACAAAGCCTGGTGGGTATACTACAGACGTCTTCTCCTTCGAGGATTCCACGGCTGCTTGGACTGGGCAGGGCTTGAATGTGATCAGCGTGAAGAGGGACACCTGGTCTCTGTGGAAGGCTCATGAGCTGGAGGTGGCCAACCAAGCCCTGGAGGCGCGAGTCATGGCGCTGGAGACCCACTTGGACGACTTTGGCGTGGTCCCACTGCACGGCAGCGGCACCACCAACCCCCGGAATTGGTTTGCTCAGGTCATGAAGCAGATGGAGCACCGGGCACGTGCTCCCCTACTCCTTACCTACCGTGCGGTGGGCAGCAGCACTGGTCAGAAGGAGTTCACGGGCCAGGCGAGCAACTCATGGATGAGCTACAACCACTTCGGTGCTGGAGACATTCCCATGACCAATGCACGTTTCCAGGACATGGCTGCTCAGGGGATCACGATGCTCCACTTGCCCTTCGCTCTCAGTGCGATCGGCATCTTCCACAGTGTGCCTGCAGGTGAGATTGGCTCCAGCTCTCTACAGCTCCCAGACTGCCTGCTCGCGCGTGTCTTCGGCGGTGACATTACCCGCTGGGACCACCCAGACATCGTGGCAGCGAATCCCGGGCTGAATGTGCCCGCCAATACTCTGATCAAGGTGGGCCACCGGACAGCAGGATCCAGCAGCACCACTGGTTTGACCGCCTACCTGAAGCAGAAGTGTGAGAACAATGGCTGGACCCTCGGGAGCGGATCGACGGTGTCTTGGCCCACGACTACGGGCTTCACGCCTGTGCAGGGGTCTCAGGGCATGCAGAAGCACATCGAAGACACGCCATATGCCATCGGCTACTTGGATGCAGGTCATGGGCATCAGTACGGCTTCGGCGAGATTGCTCTGAAGAACAAGGCCGGAAGGACCCGCACCTCGAAGGAGTCAATGGCGCTCTCGCCCTCTGGCGTGCAAGAGGCGGGCACTCAGGGAGTGAACTCCGGGGCCTTCCCAAGCCTTCCGGATGTCGATTGGAGCGCCGTGAACCTCTACGACATGGCGGGTGAGAACACCTGGCCGATCGTGCTGGTGAGCTACCTCTATGTCCGCAAGGATCAGACGAAGACCAATCCGAAGACGGCTGCCGCATTGCAGGCGTTCCTGCATGTCATCCTCAACGACGAGGAGGGCTTGGCCTCTCAGTTCCTCTTCACTCCCCCAAGTGTTGCAGTTAAAGCCGTTTCCCAGGCAGGGGCGGATCAGATCATGTATCCCAACAACATGAAGAGCTTCGCCTTTGAGTCAAGCACGGCTGCCTATGATGGCATGGCCGCGAACATGATCAGCGTGAAGCGAACTGCCTTTGACGACTACCAGCGTGACATCTTGTTCAAGGAGATCGATGCCTTGAAGTCACAGCTGGCAGCGCAGCCGCCGGCAGAGCACGCCCACGAGCACGGTGACGACGACGACAACGGCACGGGCACGGCTGCGTTGGCGGTTGCCATCGTTGCGGCCGTGCTGGCTTCCATGGCGCTGCTGGTGGGCTGCTTCGCCTACTCCAAGGGTCGAGGTGCATCTGCAGGAGCCAGTGGGACGATGCTGGGACGTCCTGAGGTCTGATCAGGTGTAGTTCCCAGAAGGGCCGGCGAGGCCCTGATTTTTGTCGGATGTTGTAGGATCTTTTCCACGGCGAATGAGCGCCGATTTTCTTCACGGCTGACGCCCGCCAAGCGGGAGGACAGCATGCGTAGTATCAGTGTTCATCCTTTCTATCGGTCGGTGCCTCGCCATTAGGCGGGCGCAGAAGACCTTTAAGACAAGTTTGACGAGACAATTGTGGACTTGCCCCATGCTCACTGGCTCGGTGACGGACGGAGGCGCCGACAAACAGAAGGTGTGAAAGGCATAGGCACTTACTTTGGTCATGGATGCGTCTTGCCAGGCACAGCCACGCAGCAGCATGGCCGGATTCTGACGAGGCCGCACGCTGCTGAGGGTTGTCTCTCTGCGTCTCTGCCTCCTTAGCGTCACGAAGCTTCGCATCTGTCTTGATGTTTCTGCCCTCTTGGCTCTCAGAAAAGGAAAGCGTTCCTGCAGCAAATCGGCTCTCAGATCGTCTAGGCCAAGGCATTTGCGGGCCCGCCGCCCGTGCTCAACCGGACGGATGAAGCTCTTTGCACTCGCGGCATTGGCAGCACATGCAGGGGCACAGACTCTTGAAGTCCACGGCAGCGGCACGACGAATCCCTCGAAGTTCTTCTGGGACATCATGGACGGCTTTCGTGCGATGACCCGCAGGGACATCCGGCTCACCTACCGTGCTGTGGGAAGCAGCACTGGGCAGAGGGAGTTCACGCAGCAGTCGAGCGGGGACTACAGCTCAGGCCTCACGGACTTCGGCTCTGGGGACATCCCAGTGACGCAGGACCGCTACAACGGGTTGGTTGCAGCATCAAGGGGTATGGTTCACGTTCCCTTCGCTATGGGAGCCATCGGGGTCTTCCATTCCGTGCCAGAAGGTGAGGTTGGCAGCACGGGCTTGAAGCTGGCACCCTGTGTGCTGGCCAAGATCTTCGGCGGCCAGATCACGGAGTGGAAGGACCCGGAGATTCTGGTGGACAATCCTGGCCTTTCGGCAGTCCCGGATGGGACCAAGATCCAGGTCGGACATCGCACCCTGGGTTCCAGCAGCACCTCAGGTCTCTCAGGATATTT